CACATTGAGGTCACAAACTTAGGTCACATTAATGTTACAAACTGAGGTTATGTTTAAACTACAAACCGAGGTCACATTAAGTTCACAAACTGAGGTAATGCTTCCTCTACAAACTAAGGTCACATTAGGGTCACAAACTGAGGTAATGCTTCCACTTCAAACCAAGGTCACATTAAGGTTACAAACTGAGGTAATATTTCCACTACAAACTGAGGTCACATTAAGATTAAACTGAGGTAATGTTTCAACTACAAACTTATGTCACATTAAGGTCACAAACTGAGGTCACATTAAGGTCACAAACTGAGGTCATGCTTCCACTACAAACCGAGTTTACATTAAGGTTACAAACTGAGGTAATATTTCCACTACAAACTGAGGTCACATTAAGATTAAACTGAGGTAATGTTTCAACTACAAACTTATGTCACATTAAGGTCACAAACTGAGGTCACATTAAGGTTACAAACTGAGGTCATGCTTCCACTACAAACCGAGTTTACATTAAGGTTACAAACTTAGGTCATTTTTCCACTACAAACCAAGGTCAAATTAAGGTTCACAAACTGAGGTCATATTAATGTTACAAACTGAGGTAATGTTTCCACTACAAACCGAGGTGACATGAAGGTCACAAACTGAGGTAATGTTTCTACAACAAACCAAGGTCAAATTAAGGTTCACAAACTGAGGTAATGCTTCCACTTCAAACCAAGGTCACATTAATGTTACAAACTGAGGTAATGTTTCCACTACAAACCGAGGTCACATTAAGGTCACAAACTGAGGTCACATTAAGGCCACAAACTGAGGTCATGCTTCAACTACAAACCGAGGTCACATTAAGGTCACAAACTGAGGTAATGCTTCCACAACAAACCGAGGTCACATTAAGGTTAAAAACTGAGGTAATATTTCAATCTCAAACCGAGGTCACATTAAGGTCACAAACTGAGGTCACGTTTCCACTACAAACCGAGGTCACATTAAGTTTACAAACTGAGGTAATATTTCCACTTCAAACTGATGTAACATTAAGGCTACAATATGAGGTCATGTTCTACTACAAACCGAGGTCACATTAATTATACAAACTGAGGTAATGTTTCAACTACAAACCTAGGTCATATTAAGGTCACAAACGGAGGTCACATTAATGATACAAACTGAGGTAATGTTTCAACTACAAACCGAGGTTACATTAAGGTCACAAACTGAGGTAATGCTTCCACAACAAACCGAGGTCACATTAAGGTTAAAAACTGAGGTAATATTTCAATCTCAAACCGAGGTCACATTAAGGTCACAAACTGCGGTAATGCTTCCACTACAAACCAAGGTCACACTAAGGTTATAAACTGAGGTGATATTTCCACTACAAACTGATGTAACATTAAGGTTACAAACTGAGGTCACGTTTCCACTACAAACCGAGGTCACATTAAGGTTACAAACTGAGGACATGTTTCCATTACAAACCAAGATCACATTAAGGTCACAAACTGAGGTAACGATTCCACCACAAACCGAGGTCACATTAAGGTTACAAACTGAGGACATGTTTCCATTACAAACCAAGATCACATTAAGGTCACACACTGAGGTAATGATTCCACTACAAACCGAGGTCACATTAAGGTTACAAACTGAGGTAATATTTCCACTTCAAACTGATGTAACATTAAGGCTACAATATGAGGTCATGTTCTACTACAAACCGAGGTCACATTAATTATACAAACTGAGGTAATGTTTCAACTACAAACCGAGGTTACATTAAGGTCACAAACTGAGGTAATGCTTCCACAACAAACCGAGGTCACATTAAGGTTAAAAACTGAGGTAATATTTCAATCTCAAACCGAGGTCACATTAAGGTCACAAACTGCGGTAATGCTTCCACTACAAACCAAGGTCACACTAAGGTTATAAACTGAGGTGATATTTCCACTACAAACTGATGTAACATTAAGGTTACAAACTGAGGTCACGTTTCCACTACAAACCGAGGTCACATTAAGGTTACAAACTGAGGTCATGTTTCCACTACAAACCGAGGTCACATTAAGGTTACAAACTGAGGTCATGTTTCCATTACAAACCAAGATCACATTAAGGTCACAAACTGAGGTAATGATTCCACTACAAACCGAGGTCACATTAAGGTTACAAACTGAGGTCATGTTCCAAAGCTACAAAAGATAGATCACCAAGACGACAAACCGAGATAATGTTCCCAGCAAACCATTGCCGCATCAATAACCTCGATGTTTAATCTGGATGACATCCCATTAGGATATAACATGTATAATCTGACCTCAATTTATACCCTTCATGATTTGACCTCCATACGTAACCTAGCTGAGCCGAATTCGGTTGGTTATCGTGATGCTTTGACTTCGGTTGGTAACTTTGATAATCTGACCTTGGTTTGAAACCATGATTATCTGTTCTCGATTGGTAACCTTGACAATCTTACCTCTGTCTGTTACCTGAATGATCTTAACTTGGTTGGTAACCTTAATGATCTGACCTCGGTTATGAGCTTTGATTATCTGTTCTCTGTTGGTAACTGTATTATCTGACCTCAGTCTGTACCCTGGATGATCAGACCTTAGTTTGAAACCATGATTATCTGATCTCGGTTGGTAACCTTGACAATCTTACCTCTGTCTGTCACCTGAATGATCTGACCTTGGTTGGTAGCCTTATTGACCTGACCTCGGTTATGAACTTTGATTATCTGTTCTCCGTTGGTAACCTTAATAACCTGACCTCAGTCTGTAATCTGGATGATCTGACTATTGTTTGTACCCTGGATGATCACACCTTGGTTAGTAACGTCTCTTTATATTTCAATCTTTTCATGATATTTTTATCTAAATTGTATTTTATAATCCTATCCCGCTGTTGAAATATAAGATATATGACGTTTTAAATGATTTTAATTTTGATTCCTCATACTTGAATATTTGTTTTGCCCCTAATGACCATAGTACAGTTGTGGGATCGCACAACGTTACACGATGTGCGGTGTGCGCACGCTGTGTGCACGGTGTGTGAACGGTGTGTGCACGATGGGCGAACGATAATAAGCTGGACGATCATTGCTTGCGCACATATGTGCGCACGATGGACGGGCGTTGTGCGATAACAATCGTGGTTGGTGTAAATTGAGGAATGCCTCAAAAATATATACGGTTTCGTGTTTAACATATAAACTTGATGTTTACGTATGTTTCTATATTCTAGCAACATCTATAAACTTATCTTTCTGTCTATTCATTCTTATATTTAGAAATTGTGTTTTCTGTGTTTTTAAACAAACTTAATCGACACATATAAAATTACAACACAATCCCGTATACAGGTAAACATAACCACTTTGTACATGTACGTGGACCGTAGTTTTCCCCTCGCCTGGGGCACTTATATTACGTAACTCGTCGGGTAAGGCCGGGGTGTGAACATCCAGGTGAAGGGGAGCTATAGGCAAACGAATGCAAATAACAAATACTATTCATTACGGTCAAACGATATCGCATATCAACTCTGTGTGTCAGGCACTGGTCAGGTAAAACTCTGGAGACTCATCAAATTGTTATTTACCTGTTCTGTTACCTTGGAGCCAAACCCATTCTTGAAATCCTAGCGGTCTCTGTAATACTGTGTACACGCATTGTGAAATTGTTTAATCTTGATTATTGTGATGAGAAATTACAGATATATACACAGTGCACATAATCCGATATAAGCCTTCCGTATTTTTGTCATTTCGTAAGTTTGATCTACAAATGATACCAAATCGCACAGTTGTGCGCCCCATGTGTGGACGATGTGCGGACGGTGTGTGAACGATGTATGCACGGTGTGCGCACGCTATTTTTGGTGCGTTGTGCGGTCCCACAACTGTAATCGATGGGTCTCAAACAAACAAAACAAATGATCTGACTTCGGTTCGTAACTTTGATGATCTGACTTGGTTCCTGACATTGATTTCCTGGGCCCAGTTGTTCAAGAACGGGTTAGCTTCATCACTGTTAAGCGACATTTTTCAACCTTTGATAACTTCGTCAACATTCAAGGTAAAATCTTCTAATTTTGCATGTAAATTCACTCTACTAAATATTTGATATCTGGAAAATGTTTTTGGTTTTTCAAGTTACACACAAATTAAAATTTGCGCTAATCACTGATTAAGCTAATCACCTTTTGAACAACTGGGCCCTGATCTCTGTTGGTAACTTTGAGGATCTCTCCTTAATATGTAACCATGGTGATCTGACCTCGGTTATTAACTTAAATTATCAGTTCTCTGTTGGTAGCCTTGACGATTTCATCTCTATTGGTAACCATGATGATCCGACTTCGGTTCGTGATCTTGATCTCCTGATTTCGGTTGCTTACCGTGATGATCTGATCTCAGTTCGTAATTTTGATGATCTGACCTCGGTTATAAACTTTGAAATATCTTATCTTTATTGATAACCATGATGATCTGACTTTGGTTTATTACCATGACGATCTGACTTCGGCTGGTTTCCATGATGATTTGATCTCTATAAACGTTGTAACCTGGATGATCTGGACTTTGTTTGTATCATTGGGTTATCTTACAATGATCGTGTTTACAAGTATGTAGCTTTGGCACATTTTCTACTTTTGTATTCTTGTTGTTATGATCCCGGTTTGTGAGCTTGGGACTTTACCTCGGTTTGTAACCTGAATGATCTGTCCTCGGCTTAGAGCCTTAATGATATGATTCCTAAACCTGTATGTGAAATATACACTGCTAAATTATGATAGCGGAATTTGGAACACCTAAGAATACACCTGAGTCCATGTACTGTGTAAATTCTGAGGTGTAACCAATTATGATAATTTATTACGAGCCATTGGAGATCCTTTGATATGGTATTTTGGATTGTTGTCCTGAACGCACATTTTATATGTAACATTGTCTTTCTGATACACATTTATAAAAGCTGCATATCCAGACCTACATTATGAAGCAACCGGGTCCGTCTTCGTATTTTATTTGAAGAATTCAACAAACACACGAGCTGTTGACGAAAACAACACATTTCTGCGATCATCAATCAAGGTAATCTGCTCGTGGTTGCAATGGTTGGGTACTTTTCATATAATTATTATTGATGAATTTGTGTTTCAACGATTACTGAAGGTGCTGTCAACATTCTTCTTAAGGTTTCACCTGCCAAAACGTAAACGAGAAAATGTATATGAAATCCCTCTCCCAGCAAAATAATATAATTGGCGATAATTTAGCATTAAACACATGCTTATCAAGTACGGAAACGATATGGTACACCCTTATACCATATTTTTTTTTCAACTTCGTGTAGGACTAAATCAAATGTCGATTGGTATAGTTTAACCGTTCGTCAGAATAACCACAATGTTGCTTTTAAAAATTACCTGTAGTTTGTGTTAAGATTTGGGTTGTAGTAAAAGAGGTTTAAAGACAAATTGGTATGCCAACTTTACGTATGAGCAAAGTAATAATGCGAAAATTGATTTCATCTTCATAACAAGCCGAAGTACAACTTTAAATATTGCAGGTTAAAAAAGGATGTTTTTTCCACATATCTTATGAGATAAAGACACAGTATGCAAATATCCCGAGTTAAGGAAAATTAAAAAGCTTCACATATTGCAATTAGATATTAACTATAGTTCCCATGATAAACAGCGGGTAACACCACGATAATGTAATTGTAAGTATGAAACAGAATGCTGGCTGATGAACATTTTAACACAAGATACACAAAGTAAACCATTACCATAAACTGTACAGGGAACTTAATATAACCCATGGGTAGGGTTGTAGCCTTTTATCTCAGAACTGTTGTCCCGTAGCTGCATTCGCTTTGTCATTTATAACATTGAACATTATTAATGTATTCGCTGTACCATACAGCTGTAATTTTATACTACATGTTTTTATTACAGTAGCCTTGTTCAGTCAGTAATACGGTGTAAATGGTTATATAACACTGCATTTAATCTATAAACAGTCTTTATTTGTAAGACAGGCTCGAGCGCCCTGTATTGTTCTCTTGCCAATTGCTCTACAAAAATTTCTTCCTCTACATTCACGTCCGATTATAATGTACTCCACCACAGGACACGCTCAAAATAAAATGTATAGATTAATTAGGACATGCTTTTGTGGAAATATATATCCCTTGAAGATTTAATAACAAAAAGTCTTTGTTGTATCAAAAATCATACATGTATATATGTATATATATGTGTGTGTGTTTTATCTACACTGCCTATGATTGGCACGGGTTTTAATGAAGTCCAGTCCACATACACAACGCCATATGTGCAAATTGTCTAAAATACCTACGTTGCTCTCTGTGGCATTATCAATGAATTTGATCTCGCTAATGTTTTTGCTTTGTGCTAGCAGAATTGGAAGAATATTTCAACAGTCTAGCGAAATTCCATAGCGGTTAAACTGTCAATTTCTTAGATCTATTTTATGCAGCTGAGTTTATACAAATATAAAGGACAAGAGATAACGTTATGTTCGATCTTTTGATTTTGTCATTTAAAAACAAGAAACTTGATTATTAATTGAATTATAATTATCCTTCAAGAAGTAAAAGATACCTCAGCTCCATATTTTGATATTCACTTATAATATGAAGATTATGGTCACCTGACTTCTATTACCTATAAAAACCATGCCGACTTTAATATTACAATCCGGAAATTTCTTTGCTTTAGCTGTGACATCCCATCCGCTCCTACGGGTGGAGTGAAATGATAAGAGTTGATTTACTTTCCTGTGTCCAAATAAACAAACAGGTCTTTTTTATACCAATGTGGCTGTAATTTACATTTAATATATATTACGAGCACAAAGTAAGTACCAGACATTGGACTGTCTACCAAATTGTAGCCCAGTTAACTATTTATTACTGTCTTTAAATATAAAATCATCGTAATGTTTTTTGTTTCTATTTTTCAGAATCAAAATGCTCCGAGCGGTAGCGTTCCAAAATTTCATATACTTTCGGGATCATCAATCACTGGAATTCGAGGATGGACCTAATTTCATCGTCGGACCGAATGCAAGCGGGAAAACTGCCATTTTTGAACTGATCAGGAGATGTCTATCAAATACTGCGAACGCTTCAACTTCGAGAGTAGCAGACAAACATTCTCCTGCTTTTGTGATATGCAAGTTTGAAATTACACAGAAGTTATCAGACAAAGTTCCCGCGGGATGCCATGTTTATTCATGTCTGTATATAAAGCACTCGAAAGACGATTCCAAGGAAATGTACAAACTTGTTTGTATCACTAACACGGACGGACAACAAGGGAAATGTTATCTTGAATACTTCCAAAGTGTTAATGTCTGTGGTCCACTACCAGAACCCAAAGCATTTACCTTACCCACTAATAGCACCGAAATGTCACAGGAATTATATAGTCTGATAAAGAGTGAACGTTCACTTGATAATTTGGATGGCATGATTCAGAAAATGATGGAAAGCAAACAACAACCTGATATGAATATAGAGCCTGGGGTCAGTGGATGTGAAAATATTCTCCAGGCTATACACGAGGCTGTTGTCGTTACCTTTCCCATACGTTCTCCGGGGCCCATACAATAGAGCCATAGTAGAAACATTGGGGAAGGAAATGAGCATTACAATGCAGCCTCAAACAAGGCGGAGATACTTCAAGAGCTGCTACAATCACCTGATGTCGATGAGGTAGAAGAATCAAACCAAATTTTCGAGACGATTATCCATCCGTTAAAATACCACTTCAAAACGAATCCAGACTCAACCATTACAGTTAATGATGGTGCACAAGATATACGATTTCTGAAAGTACCGGAAGGAATCATTGAAGCAAAGCAATTTTCCTTGATGTTTGCACACAGGAAATATCAAACATTAATGTTAGAGGAACCGGACCGAGGCATGCATCCTCCCATGATTCAGAAGTTACGGGATCTAGTATTACGAAGGCACAACCAGGCCTGGAAGATGGTGCTTGTGTTTACCTCACATCAACCAGCGATGATCAACCGATGGGCAATGGACCGAATGTACGTGTGCAGGAGAAAGAGGACGAACGACGGGAAGATGAAACACTCCGTTTTCAGATTAAAAAGGACAATCGAAAACATCTTTCAAGAACAGGACAAACTGAAGCAAATGCTGTACTCTTCAAGTATACTTTTTGTTGAAGGTATCACAGACAAAACAGTGGTGGAATCAATATTCGATCGGGTGTTGGAGGCTGAGCACATTGATGAAGAAATGCTCGATTTGCAAAAGGTAGTTTCAGGAATTCAAGTCATTTCTATCGACGGATCAACACCATACAATGTTCTGAAAACGATGGGAGAAAAACTCGAACTACCATGCGCGTTCCTCTTTGACAGTGACAGCGTATTTGAATGTCAGACGAAAGTTCAGCCGAAAACTGGTGGAAAAAAATGGAGAAATTCAACTTTATTTTGCGTTAGAATTCTCCTCAAAAGAATGAAGGAAAAACATCACGGAGATAGAGTGGAAAAATCAAAGGAGAAAACGAAAGACGGAACATTTGAACTAGTTATGAAAACGCGTACAGCTAATGATCAGAAAATACATAATGTGCTGGGCTTAAAGGAGAGCGATTTATCCGATGTCAAGTGGACCACGGTTGAATCGTTTATAAGATCTGTTGTACTGCCTGAAACGTTCGGGTTAAACTCAAAAGCAGCCGGACCTTATACCTTACCAGAAAACATCAAAGATAGCAAGGATGAGCAATTAATCAGAAACCACATGAGAGAAGAGAAAAGGGTTTTCCTTTGGGATTCTGGAAACCTTGAGGATATGATTTGTAGAAGCATTTTGGATTCTGGAAATCAGGCAGATGATCTCCTGCGAAAAGTTTTTCTATGTGAAAAATATGACGAGGACGCAAGTACACTCAAAGATCCGGTGAAGCAGACCCTCAAGCAAATGGATATCACAACAGCAGAAAAACTTTCTGAATGTCTGCTTAACAGTACTGAAATGAAGGCATTTTTTGAATTTCTGAAGCAAATCGAGGAAAAAAGACCACAGCTTTGATACAAAAAATTGTGTAAGAGCAACGTATTTCTCCATTATTTGTTACTCTTGGACTGAAAGACAATAGACAAAAGGAACAATCCTATATATGACAGACACAATGACAAAGAGATCCTTCTGGTGGAAGGATATAGGACGATATGAAGATGGTAGAAACGAATTTTAAGCCCAACAGGAATTGGCCAGTATAATCTTTCCAGGAAACGAAATTATCTAAACATTGAAATGGTCAAGTCAAAGAACTTCAAATTGACACACAATTTATTGATTTCATATGACAGCCTTGGTGTTAATTGTTTCTCATTTCGTAATAAACATGCTGATGTTTATTGGCATCAGTACGGCCGACACTGTGAACGTCGAGTATGCGAATCTACGGTCAAAATTGAAGTGTTTGCGGTGTCCGACGTTCTCTACGAAAACGATTTCCTGAAGTTCATTTCCATCCTGATGATAGTCGATAACGTAAGTAAAAAAACCTAAACGAGTCATTACAATTCTAGGGAATAGAGATGTTGACAACAAAACCCCAGAAATTAAGGATTTGATTATAGCAAACATTAAGTTAGTCATGCTTTCAACAACTGATCAGATATCGCTGTAGTAAGAAGGTAAGTGCGTACATAGACGTATACATAGTAACAAACCACCCCGGTGTGATCATATAATTATCACTGTAGTAAGAAGGTAAGTGCGTACATAGACGTATACATAGTAACAGCACGACCCCGGTGTTACACCGATCATATATCACTGTAGTTAGAAGGTAAGTGCGTACATAGACATATACATAGTAACAACACGACCCCGGTGTTACACCGATCATATATCACTGTAGTAAGAAGGTAAGTGTTACATAGACGTATACATAGTAACAACACGACCCCGGTGTTACACCGATCATATATCACTGTAGTAGGAAGGTAATTGCGTACATAGACGTATACATAGTAACAACACGACCCGGTGTTACACCGATCATATATCACTGTAGTAGGAAGGTAATTGCGTACATAGACGTATACATAGTAACAACACGACCCGGTGTTACACCGATCATATATCACTGTAGTTAGAAGGTAAGTGTTACATAGACATATACATAGTAACAACACGACCCCGGTGTTACACCGATCATATATCGCTGTAGTAAGAAGGTAAGTGTTACATAGACGTATACATAGTAACAACACGACACCGGTGTAACACCGATCATATATCACTGTAGTAAGAAGGTAAGTGTTACATAGATGTATGCATAGTAACAACATGACAACGGTGTTACACCGATCATATATCACTGTAGTAAGAAGGTTACTATGTACACAAATGTTAACGTAGATTTCAATTTCAATAAATTTTATTGTCAAAGGACAAATGGATTGGGCAGCAGGCATAGCCTATTTAAGCCCTTTCCAAACATAGTAACAGACAGTGGTACAAGCATAGACATAGACATTAGAACACATACAAACACATATATAAACAAGTTGGTATTATCAAATTAATAATCAAATTAGGGGAAACAACTACTAGTACTCATTTTTATCATAATTGAATCTAATGTTTTAAATTCTAACCTTTTATTTTGATATTGAAAAGACATATAAAATATATACCGGTATATACATATTATGAAGAGAAAAGAAAAATTATTTCTTGATGGAGCTGCATGTATAAACATTTGATGGGATTAAATTACCGCACCCAACAGAAACAGGCCAAAAAGTCCATTGTATCACACACGGCCATCCACTGATGAGTTTGGAAATTCAATCCCACCAAATAGTTTAATTTATGCACATTAAACACAGGTTAGATAT